ATAAAACATTACCAGGACTGGGGATTTAGCTCAGTGGTTCCACCACCTGCCTTGCCAGCACAAGGACCTGAGTTTGATCCCCAGTACCAAAAAACAAAGCAAACAAAACATTGCCAAAAAAATTAGCCTAGGAATTAGGCACAAGAAAGAAATAAAGGGCCCCCAAGTTGGAAAAAACCAGGATGCCGTCTGTTTGGAAGTGACATAGTCATATATAGAGAAAACCATAATGGCCACCAAAAATTGTAAGAATTAATTTAGAAATTCAGTAAAGTTGGATGACCCAAAATCAGTATACAAAAATCAGCATATCTTTGTGCTAGTAATGAATTATGTGAAATAGAAATCAAGAGAGTAATCCCATTTACAATAGGTTTAAAAACATAAAATATCTACAAATAAATTTAACCACAGTGATGAAAGATCTCTATAATGAAAATTTTAAAATGTTGATAAAATTCAAAGACCCAAAAATGTAGAAAATCATCCCAGTTTAATGGTTTGGAAAAATCAAATATAATGGGTAAAGTTGATGAGGATGTGAAGTAAAATGAACTCTTACATATTGATGGTAGAAATGTAAATAGAACTCCCACATGATCCAGCAATCCTATACTAAGAATATATCCAAAGGAAATGAAATCTGTATTTTAAGGACTGTCTGCACTGAAGTGTTGATTGCATCACTATTCATGATGGCCAAGATAGGGAAACAAATTGTGTCCATGAATGAGTGAATGGATAAAGAAAATATGTATATATACATATAATAAAATATTATTCAGTCACAAAAAAATTATGAAACCGTATCATTTGCAGCAATACAATGAAACTGGTATTAAGTGAAATAGCCAAGGAAAAAAAGTGGATGTAGTGGTCCACAACTACAAACCCACCTAATCAGGAGGCTGAGGCAAAAAAAATCACTTATGTGCTTGGGTTAGAGACCAGCCTGGGCAGCATAATTAGACTCCATCTTTTAAAAAAATAGCCAATCACATAAAGTCAGATACTATATGTTCTCATACATGGAGTAAAAAAACAGTTGATCTTAGTAGAAGTAGAGAGCGGAATAGTGGTTACAAGAGCCTGGAGACTGTAATGGGGAAAGGTTTGTCAACAGATAGAAAATTGTGGTGAGATAGGAACAATAATTTCTTATGTTTTATTACACAATAGGGTGGCTGTGGTTACCAGTTATGTATGTTTCAAGATAGCTAAAAGAGGATTATGAATTTTATCACTACAAAGACAGGATAAATGTTTGCGGCGATAGATATGCTAACTGATCATTATACAATAAATATGTGCATGTATATTTCACATTGTACCCTTAAGTGTACACTAATAATATAATTATTATGTCAATTACAACTTTTTAAAAAGAAAATAAGATACACATAAATGAAAAGACATCTGTGTTCAGATTGAAAGACTTTTTATTTTTTCAATGTCTGTGCTACCCAAAATGATCTACATGTTCATTATAATGCCCATGAAAATTCCAATGGCATTTTTTGAATAATTAGAAAAAAATCCTAAAATTCATGTGGAACTACACAAGACCCTGAATATCCCAAGCAATACCTTGAATATCCTGAACAAGGGGAGCAAAACTGGAGACATCACTCTTCCAGATTTCAAAATATAAGACAAAGTGTGGTAATAACAGTATAATACTGGCATAAAAACAGATATATAAACCAATGAAACAGAATAGAGAGCATGGAAATAAGCCCAGATATGTAGACAACTATGCATTATAGGGAAAAGAGAGTCTCTTCAACAAATGGTATTAGGAAAACTGGATATGGACTTGGAAAAGAGTAAAATCAAAATCAAAATAAAAAAGTAAAATCAAAATAAGTTAAAGATGTAAATATATGACCTGAACTGCCAATCTCTTGGGAAAAAACAGAAAGAGAAACTTCATGCCATTTGGCTTGGCAATCATTTCTAGGATATGACCCCAGAAGTATAAGCAGCAAAAACAAAATTAGACAAATGGAACTACATCATACTAAAGTATTTCAGCAAGGCAAGAAACCAAAAAGAAAAGGCAAAGTACCAAATGGTAGAAAATATTTGTAAAACATTTATTTAATGAAGGTTTAATATCCAAACTACATAAGGAATTCCTATTTAGTAGTCAATACATAAGCCCCAAATAACCTGATTTTATAATAAAGGTAGTTATCCAAAGATGGCATACAAATGTCTTGACAAGTATATGAAAAGGTGTTGAGTATCACTAATCATCAGAAATATGCAAATCAGTACCACATAAATGACCCAGTAATCCTGTTTCTGGGTATAGATGCAAAAGAATTGAAAAATAGGATCTTGAAGAGATGTCTATGCCTAAGATTACTGCAGCATTATTCACAGTAACCAGTATTTGGAAACAACGTAAATATCTGTCAAGAGATGAATGGATGAAGCAAAAGTGTTATGGAATATTATTCTGCCTTAAAAACAAAAGGGATTCCTGCCATGTATAACAAGCTGGGTGAACCTAAAGGACATTATATTAATGAAATAAATCAGTCATAGAAGGACAAATACTGCACGATTCCACTTATGCAAGGTGTCCAAAATACATTCATAGAAATAGATTGTATAATGGTGGCTTCTAGGGCCTCGGAGGTGAGAGAAATAGGGATTTGCTTTTCCACAAGTATAATGTTTCACTTAGGCAGTTTGTATAAATGAAATTTTGCAAATAAGTTCTAGAGATCTTTACAACATTCTGCCTGTAGTAAACAATACTATTGTATAATTAAAATTTAAGAGCATAGATATTCTGTTAAACTTTTTTTAAAATTTTTTTTATTTTAATGTAATACAAGTAGATGTGTGTATGTGTGTAACAGAATAGAAGATGGATAAATAGGAAGTGAGAAATTCAAATAATGTCCCAAATTATTCCATTATTTCAAAAATATAGTATATTAAGATATTTACTGGGTGTGTTCTCTCAATCAAAATATTTAAGTCATTCTTGGTTTAGGGATATTTTCTTCTACTCGTACCTTAATTATTGATATTTCTCTTTTGTATTTTCTCCTTCTGCAACACTTACAGGTGCCTAAATCAGTACCAGAAGCATAGTAAGCATTAGTTAAATACTGGTTGAATGTGTACATTTGCTTGAGCAGTGCCCTGTGTATCTTATATCTTCTTTCACAATTCACATCCTAGATATTTTGATATGTTGTCCGAAATAATTTTTTTCAAACTGTTTCCACAGAAGCTGCTTTTGGCTGTTCACTTTCTACTGTTTATGATTTTTACAAATTATGCCAATTTTTGAGTATCACATTATCTGATTTTTCCCTTTTGATATGCTCTTATTTTAAATCAGCGTAATAACATTTTGTATGTGAAATGCTTGTTAGAAGGGTTTTTTTTTTTTTTTTTGTTTTTTTTTG